AATATTTAAATTGTCTGATTAAAATATGATTAAAAACCCCTCTAAAACCCCTCTTAAAAATTACCCTAGGCCAGTCCCGCTTGTTGGAATAGCCATGTCTTGAGGGCGCGGCGGAAGGAAGGGAGATCAGGGATCACCCTGATCTCTGGGGGAAGCTCATTCCAGAGGGTGGGAGCTCCCACAGAGAAGGCCCTCCCCCCTCCATTTTCTTACGATAAAAGTAATAAAACATTTAGAAAAATAAAATGGCCTACATTCATTTAATCCAAGGAATCTTTCTATATCATTACACCTTTAGAACATCAGGTTATTTATGTATTTATTTATTATCAAACTTCTGTGCCACCCATCTCACTGAGGTGACTCTAGGTGACTTCCTGTATATGTGACTGAACCTTTTGATAGGCATTTAATACTGAATGATGTCAGCAAGAAGCTACTTACAATACCTAGATGAGCATAGATCAACACCAAGTTTATCATCAGACCAACATTCAAGTAGTAAATAATACTCCAAACAAGCTAACATTAAACAGCCCAACCAAGACTCCCCCCCCAACTGTGACAGGGCAAACCACTAGAATATAAATTGAGAGTAAACCCCACTCCCTAGTAACACTGATGATGTTACCTAGTTTGGATAATGAAACGTCTTCAAGAAAACAACCAAGCTCAGAGAGGACTAAGAACCCCTCAGAAGCTACAGCTAGTCCTCGACTTATGATCACAATTGAGCCCAAAATTTATGTTGCTAAGTGAGAAATTTGTTAAGTGAGGTTTGCCCCATTTTACGACTTCTCTTACCACATTTGTTAAGTGAATCATATGGTTTTTAAATTAGTAACTCGGTTGCTAAGTGAATCTGGCTTCCCCATTGAGGTTGCAAAAAAGGGGGATCACGTGACCCCAAGACACTGTGACCGCCATAAATGCGAACCAGCTGTCAAGCATCCAAATGTAAATCACGTGACCATGGGGGTGCTGCAACAGTAATAAGCGTGGAAAATGGTCGTAAGTCACTTTTTTCAGTGCCGTTGTAACTTCGAACGGTCACTAAGTGAACTGTTGTAAGTCGAGGACTACCTGCACTTTATTTGACATGCTTTGTATCAGATTTTTGAATTCACAGTCCATTCATTCCTGTTAACATTAAGCCAATGCTAAAACCAATCCTTTAATAGTCAAGGAAGATCAATGTCTCTTTTAGTTAGCTAAACATTAGATGATACCATTCGATTTACACGTTTAATTTTCACAGTAGGAGGCAGCAGCTAATTGCCCTTGGCTGACCTCAGAAAAGTTGAGCAGGGTTTATGCTTGGATGGAGACCACAAAGAAATCCCAGGTTGGTAAACTAGAGTGGGATGTCAAAAAAAAAAAAGACATCCTGGAAAAAAGAGATAGCAAATACTTCAACAACAACAACAACAACAACAACAACAACAACAATAATAATAATAATAATAATAATAATAATAATAATAATAAAGTTGGAAGGGACCTTGGAGGTCATCGAGTCCAACCCCCTGCTCAGGCAGGAACCTACACCATTTCAGACAAATGGCTGTCCAGTCTCTTCTTAAAAACTTCCAGTGTTGGAGCATTCACCGCTTCTGGAGGCAGGTTGTTCCACTGGTTAATTATTCTCACTGTCAGGAAGTTTCTCCTTAGTTCTAAGTTGCTTCTCTCCTTGATCAGTTTCCATCCATTGCTTCTCGTCCTGCCTTCAGGCGCCTTGGAGAATAGCTTGACTCCCTCTTCTTTGTGGCAGCCCCTGAGATATTGGAACACTGCTACTAAACGTTGAGCGTGACTTAGGAGAGTCTTAAACTTAACGTTGGCCTAAATCAGGGGTAGGCAACCTTGGCTCTTTTATGACTCGTGGACTTCAACTCCCAGAATTCCTGAGCCAGCCATGCTGAGGGGAAAGGGAGAGGTTTCCAAGCTGAGCCATGCTGACTCAGGAATTCTGGGAGTTGAAGTCCACGAGTCATAAAAGAGCCAAGGTTGCCTACCCTTGGCCTAAATAGAAGGGGGCGTGTCCTGAAAAATCCAACGTTTACCGTAATGTGATCAACATAAGATTAATAATATCTATTTTAGAAAAAGCAAAACTTCTGATAACCTGCGCACAGCCTGCAGTGCACGTGTACTGATGTGTTCCGAATTAGAGAACATTTAGGTCCCCTTTCAATACGAAAGATGGCGTTTGCATGTTCTTGAGCACGGCTGTTTTCTTGCCTTTTCGACAGATAACTGATCTCCTTGACGTGGTGTTGGACAGTTTTATCAAAACCAGTGCCACAGGAGGATTGGGGTCCATCAAAGCAGAGGTCATGGCAGATACAGCTGTTGCCCTGGCTTCTGGAAACGTGAAGCTGGTTTCCAGCAAAGTAAGCATTCTCCTTGAATTTAACTAGTTATTCTCTTCACGTGTGGATGGAAATCCGTGAGTGGTATTTTTTTCCTCCTTCACTTGTTTTTTGTCCTTCTTTTGTCGGATAGCAGGGAAAGGGCTAATCAAACAGCACAAAACAATGTCCATGTCGAAAAATATTATAGGTAGTCCTCGGCTTACAACAGTTCATTTAGTGCAGCGGTTCTCAATCTATGGGTCGCGACCCCATTTGGGGTCGATCGACCATTTCACGGGGGTTGCCAAGCAAGGCTGTCAGCCATTTTTTTTCCCTTTTCCGGCGGGTGCCTTACCTCCCTTGGGCTGGGCCAGCTGGTGGTCGACCTGATCCATCTCTGCCGCTTGCCAGCTACGCCTCGGCCGGCGCAGGGGGCGGAACCACGCATGCATGGCGCTCCCAGGCAGGGAAAGTCCTTGACTTACGACCGGTTTAGTCCTCGACTTACGACCGGTTTAGTCCTCGACTTACGACCGGTTGGGGGTCGCGGCATTAAAAAAGTTGAGAACCACTGATTTAGTGACCATTAACAGCAGTGGAAAAGAGTGACTTATGGCCATTTTTCACACTTACAACCATTGCGGCATCTCCACGGTCACCTGATCAAACTTCAGATGCTTGGCGGCTGACTCATATTTATGACGGTTGTAATGTCCAGGGGTCATGTGATCACCTTTTGCGACCTTCTGACAGACAAAGTCAACGGGGAAGCCAGATTCACTTAACAACCTTGTTGCTAACTTAACAATTGCAGTGATTCACTTAACAACTGTGGCAAGAAAGGTTCTAAAATGCGGCAAAACTCACTTAACAAATGTCTCGCTCAGCAACATAAATTTTGGGCTCAATTGTAGCCGTACGTCCAGGACTACCTTTATATTAAATACAGCAAAAATCATAGGAGCCTGCTGGGTCAGGGCACTATACTGTAGCCAGGCAGTTATATAATTCTGAGAAGCTCAGGAAACGTAGCTTTAAGGTGTTAAGACGATTCGGTTGTGAGCTGAAGTCAAGAATGCACGCGAAAGCATTCAATTTCAATGTTGCAGATCACATTCCCTGGATTTTTTTACCTAGTTATCCTTCTCCACAGGAACAAGTTCAAAGAAATCTATTGTTCTCTATAAACCGAAGCTGGATTTCCATACTGTTGATGGGGTAGCTCTTGAAATGCTGCTTGGTTGGCCCTTCAGCCAATCACAATACAGTAACATCTAAATCAGGGGTCTCCAAACCTAGCAATTTGAAGACTTGTGGACTTCAACTCCCAGAATTCCTCAGCCAGCAAAGCTGAAGTCCACAAGTCTTCAAATTGCCAGGTTTGGAGACCCCTGATCTAAATTCTTTGGAAACCAGGCTGGCTGAGGAATTCTGGGAGTTGAAGTCCACAAGTCTTAAAGTTGCCAAGTTTGAAGACCCCTGGCTTAGATTGATTCTTCCACTTCATTTCTTTGTTGATTAGAGATGGCCACTTAGGATCCTCGTGTTCCTAAAGCCAACTTTTTGTTCCAGTGTCTAAAGCATACACCTTCTAACACAACGTGACTGCTTGTTCCCTTCCAGGTGATTGGACGGATGTGCAAAATAATCGACAAGACCTGCCTCTCTCCAACTGCCACGTTAGAGCAGCACCTCATGTGGGACGACATTGCCATTCTGGCCCGTTACATGCTGATGCTGTCTTTTAACAATTCCCTCGATGTGGCCGCACACCTCCCCTACCTCTTCCACGTTGTTACTCTGTTGGTGGCTACCGGCCCTCTTTCTCTCAGAGCTTCCACCCACGGCCTGGTCATCAACATCATTCATTCTCTGTGCACTTGTTCACAACTTCACTTTAGTGGTAAGTCTTTATTTGGATTTATTTTTAAACCTAAAATCCATCTCCTTTGGTCTAATGCCGCTTTTCCAAGAAGTAGAGTCGAGGTAGATTTCAATGGTTAACACACTTCCCCATATCTCTGCTGTCCAGTTCTGGACCTTTTAGATTGGGTCCCCAACCTGTGGGCTGCAGCCCACTACTGGGCCATGGCCTGCTGGCCACCGGACAGGCTGGCCAGTGCGCACACGTGTGTGCGTGCACTCACCCCCACTTGCACTAGCGCCGTGGCTACACGGTAAAAACGGGGCTCTGTGAGGCCTAAACGGGGCGCCACACGGTGAAAACAGAGCGGTGCTAGCACCTGCACGGCAGAAATGGGGCAGGGCTAGCAAGTGTCACATGGGTGCTAGCGCTGTCCTGTTTGTGTCATGCGCATGCTCGTGGCCCCGTTTGCACGGGTGCACGTAAATTCTTCCCCCTCCCTTTCTAAGAAAAGAAAATTTTATTGATTTTCTAGTTTTACATTTAAATATTTAAAAAGCAACATGGCGGCTGGGTTAATCGATAATTCAATAACATACAAGTATCTTTAGTACAGATCTCAAACTATTACATTAAATATTTCCCCTCTTTTCCCCTTAATATTTACTGGCTCATATTTAAACTAATCCAATTCTTATATCGATTAAATAAAAATAACTTTCTTGCATTTATCAATAATTTTTAGTTTATACATATCCTAGTTAGTTTAACATTCAATCTTTATAGACAATCAATGTCCTAATTAGTTTTTCCCAATTTTTAGTTTCTCATTAATATTTAAATTTAACGTTTAATATTTTTTAATTTCCAAGTTTTAAATAACCCCAATTCCCTTTATCACAATTCATCACAAGATCTAATGTTCAGGATACACATCTTATCTATTTGAATTCTCACCATCTTACATCAACTTTCCCCCTCTCTTTCTGTCCGGTGCGCCAACCAAGAAAGATTGGGGACCTCTGTTTTAGTTTACCAATTTAAGTAACTAAAGGATAACTTGCTTTGAACAGGTAGCTCATCTTTCCTCAGTTTGATGCTCTCTTCATGTATTAAGAGACCTGGAAATCGAAATTCTAATTCCTGTGAGGACTAATCTTCAAAAGGCTCATCCAGATTGTACAACTCGGATGGTCCATTGCCCCTTTCGGTTCATTTTCTCCCATGTTTCATTTCTCTTTGTTGGTCCCAATGACTGCCAGCGCCTCAGCCATTAACCTGGCTGGAACCTATCTCGTCCACTCATCATACTTATGCATGGATGTGCCAACCAAGCCATGATGACTTGTTCAAGAAATCACAAATTTATCCTAGTTTATCATAATGTAGGAATGGAGCGAACAGATTGAATCCCAATAACATTAATTGTACAGGTAGTCCTTGACTTAAATTTGTTTAGTGACCATTCAAAGTTACAATGGCACATAAAAAGTGACTTATAACCATTTTTCACACTTACAACCTTTGCAGCATCCCCATGATCCTGTGATCAAAATTCAGACGCTTGGCAACTGGTTCATACTTATGACCGTTGCTGTGTCCCAAGGGCACATGATCCCCTTTTGCAAACTTCTGACAAGCAAAATCAATGGGGAAGCCAGATTCACTTAACAACTGGGTTACTAACTTAACAACTGTAGCAAGAAAGGTCATAAAATGGGGCAAAACTCACTTAACAAATGTCTCACTTAACAACAGAAATTTTGGGCTCAATTGTGGTCGTACGTCGAGGACCACCTGTATTTAGTTCCAATTCAGATCAAGTGGAATTAAGTATAGTTTACTGCTTTGGGTGGGAACCAAGTTCAGCTGATTTAGTCTGTATTCAGTCCTAAACCTGACCCTCCCTTTCTTTCTGATGTGTGTGAGTTTGTCTGCATGTATAAAATTAAAATACAAGTGAACTAAGGTGGTGATCTTGTGCTTAGCAGTTTATTTTCTTTAAAATGGGGATGATGCTGATATTATGAGAAAGGCTAGGATAATTTTTATGGTGTCACAAGCTGCTGGGGTGCATGCCTGTGTTCATTAGATATCATAGGATGAACCCATACAGACCCTCCACTGCCCAAAAAACCACAAACATCTCAGTTTTGAATCCATACTAAACTACCATCCCCTAGTGCAGTGTTTCTCAACCTTGACAATTTTAAGGCATGTGGACTTCAACTCCCAGAATTCCACAGCCAGCATTGGGAGTTGAAGTCCACATGCCTTAAAATTGTCAAGGTTGAGAAACACTGCCCTAGTGGCAGATTGTGGGAAATACTAATTTAGGCTATCCTGTGCCAATTAATTTCAAGGAGGTTATAATATAATAATCAAAAAGGTAAAAACACTCCTTAAAATTCAGATAACAATTAATAATAGTACTGATAGAGGAGAATATTTGTAGCTTGGGGCTGAAATGAGGGGTCCTGGGTGGTCTCCGACTTGGTTGTTTTCTTCCAGACATTTCATTACCCAACTAGGTAACATCTTCAATGCTGATGATGTTACCTAGTTTAGGTAATGAAACATCTGCAAGAAAACAACCAAGTCAGCATCAAGAGCCCCTCAGTGTTAACAGTGAAAATAGCACTAAGGACATAATGATACTGAAGCTAAGACTTAAACAATAAGTTTGTTCTATCCTCACTTTAGCCCTGCTTAAAATAAAGTGAAGACATCAAAAGAGCTATGAATTAAACTGGGAGTCCTTATCAGCCACTGAGCCAGAAGCAGGAGGAGTTTACATATCACAGATGTCTTTTTTAACTTCATCAGTCATGATTTAAGATCCTGTGCCTCTAGTGATCTTGCCACAAATAATTTTCATCCAAGCTTTTATCATTTCAGTATACGAAGAGAGCTATGGAATCCTTTGCCTCCTATTTTCTGGTCATTCTAGCCTCCTTATAACTTACCCCTAACTTTTAAATATTCAAGTCTCGTGTTTAGATGCAGGTGATAATATATTTTGTGCTTTTCAGTAAGTGACATTTTAATGGGATCTTTAAAGTCCCGGAACAAGCTCTTAAGGAGTGCAGGATCGATCCAGGCCCAACTCTACAAATTAGCACTGTCAGTTACAATTTAGAGCCTGCCATGGCTATAAATTAGGAACACATGTAACGATCGCAACCTTTAAAAGTAGAATTGTGGACAAGGGATTGTGCCTATGGTTAAGTAACAATACAGTCCTGCAGGGATCTGTAGTGGAGAAAACGTGAAGCGGTTGATCAATTTTTAATCTCATTTTATGGAAGGGCCATATGAGCATTATTTATCATAGGGAAAATATTACCACCGCATTGAGATGCACAAGGACACCATACGTCCCTTATGCAGCCGGTTGTTAACCTGACATTGCACTGCTGAAATCAGGTGATGAGATTACCAGGGAACTAGGTATGTTTAGCCTATCGAAGAGAAGGATTAGGGGAGACACGATAGCCATCTTCCAATATTTGAAGGGCTGTCAGAGAAAAGACCATTTATTCTCCAAAGCACCTGAGGGCAGGACAAGGAGCAACGGGTGGAAGCTCCTCAGAGAGAGATTCAACCTGGAAATAAGGAGGAATTTACTGACAATGAGAATGATTAATCAGTGGAACAGCTTGCCTCCCAGAGTTGTGGATATGCCATCACTGGAAGATTTCAAAAAAAGATTGGATAGACATTTGTCTGGGGTGATAGAAGGACTCCTGCCTTGGTGTTTACTTCCGGTTTCTGGCAAACAAAAAACAAAAAACCCCTCATTGGGTACAAAAGGTTCTTTTAACAACCGTTACATTCGCTTAATGACCTGCAAATAAGGTCATAGAATTAAGTGCAGGCATGTGGGTGACCTGCTTAATGACCACCATGATTTACGACTGTAATTGCAGGCTCAAGAGATAACAATATTTACTTATTTATTTATTTATCTGCCTTGGTAAGGCCACACTTGGAATACTGCATCCAGTTTTGGTCACCACGATGTAAAAAAGATGTTGAGACTCTAGAAAGAGTACAGAGAAGAGCAACAAAGATGATCAGGGGACTGAGGCTAAAACATATAAGGAACGGCTGCTGGAATTGGGTATGTCTAGTTTAACGAAGAGAAGGACGAGGGGGGACATGATAGCAGTGAAGGTTATAGAGTCCCCGACGGTGTTTCTTCTCCCTCAGTTCGATAAAAGGTTTCGCGGACTTCCGTCCTGTTCTTCGTTGCCTACCTTTGATTAGTTCCTCTCTTCGTTGGATCTTGATTCCTCTTTGAAGGAGACAGTTAGAACAATTAACCAGTGGAACAACCTGCCTCCAGAAGCGGTGAATGCTCCAACACTGGGAGTTTTGAAGAAGAGACTGGACAGGCATTTGTCCGAAATGGTATAGGGTTTCCTGCCTGAGCAGGGGGTTGGACTAGATGACCTCCAAGTCCCTTCCAACATCATCATCATCATCATCATCATCATCATCATTATTATTATTATTATTATTAAGATTTATATGGCCGCACAACTCACACCGTGACTCCGTGAGGCACGCCTTTTCCACGCCAACAAATGGGATGCAGTCATCCAGAACTGACTGTGAACCAAATTGAACCACATACCCAGTGGTGGGATTCAGCCAGTTCGCACCAGTTTGGCAAAACCAGTAGCTAATGTTTTGTTGCCCAGGCCCAGAATGAATTTCCGGAAGCGGCATCCACACAGAGAACCGGTTGTTCACATATTTGAAGCCCACCACTGCACATACCGCACCAAAGATTAGCATACTTTAGACAGAGCATTAGGTGAACCCAGCAAACAGAGAAAATTGGATTAGAAATAAATCTCCAATAAACTATGGTTAATCATTAACATGTGATGTGAACACAGCTATTGAATGTAAAAGGGTAGGAAGGCATAGGGTGTAGACAGATGGCAGTCAACCTTCAGTATAATGGGATCTGTGACAAGCTCCTGTGACTCTTTGGCAAGGGCAAATTATGACAAGGTTGCTTAGCTTTCCTTGCCTCTCAGTCCTACCATTTTATCTCTGTACAAGGAAATTAAATTTTTGAAGAATAAAATAAAATAATAACTTGCCCCATCTCTCAGGAAGTTTTTATGATACGTTTCATATACCGGTAGCCAGCATAGCTGGAGTGTTTTTTGCTAACCCCTCAGATTTTTTTTACTTCTAAGGTTTGATGCCCAATTAATTACCTAATAATGGCACAATTTCTAGTGGTTTTTAATAAAGTGCAGCTCTGAAATTCCCCCAAAGTTGCCCAGTTCTCCTTTAGAAGTTAAATCTCTCAAAGCATTAAACAACGTTTCGTAAGAAGTATGTAACATTTCCAAGCAGCAGGGTGTGGAATTATAATTAGAACATACAAGGTAATTATGAAAGCAAGTGCAAATAATTGCTTTCATAATAAAGGTGCAGTTCTCTTCAGAGTTGAAATGATGGAGTGCTTTTATCTCTTTAAGATTCTGTGCTATAAGTTTAATATATATGTTCTTCTCCCTCCCCCCCTCCCAATTCTTTTAATTGAAATAATATAGAATGATAATTATTTCAAAGATAATTTGAAAATAAGTGCAATCCACATAATACCTTGAATATCCTCTCTGTGCGGCTCAAAGATAAAGTATATCATCATCATCATCATCATCATCATCTATATAAATAAAAATGTAAATGTTCCGTTTGTTCAAAATCTTAAATCTCCGAAAGTTCTACACCGATTGCTTTGAAATTTTGACACAACGTTGCATTCGAATACGCGCGTGTTTTTATACCCAATGGTAGGAGAGTAAAAAGGTACCAACCAGGGTGTGAGTCATCCCTGAGAATTTTCCTCACTCTGCCAAGGCAACGGGCCCTGGCAATGTCATCCAGTGGAGTCAGGGAACAGCCCACGATGTCTTGTGCCATGCTCACCACCCTCTGCAATACCTTCCTGTCCGCGGCTGTCAGGCCAGCATACCAAACCATAATACAATATGTGAGAACGCTTTCAATAGTAGACCGGTAGAAGAAGGTCATGAGTCGTCGTTCTACCCTGTTCTTCCGCAAAACCCTGAGGAAATGGAGTCTCTTTTGGGCCTTTCTGTGTAATGCATATTACATTTTTTTTAACTCCACTGTAGCTTCCTCTGACTTGGCAATGTTGGAGTTTATATTAAATTTAACATGTTAGTTATAGGAATGTTAACTTTCCTACAAGTGAACTTGTAGGAATCTACTTGAAACTGTAGTTGAAAAATGAAATCTCCATGTTACCCAAATCCATGCATCTAGTGGTACAGAGGAATAATCACCTTCTCAGATTTGATTCCTGAGAAGTCCACACACTCATTTTAGTATGCCTAGAAAATATAATCATGCCTTGTGATCTTGTGACTCAGATTAGCAAATTATTCTTAATGTCAAAAGGTCTTGGTTTCATTATGTCATTCAGTATGTCAGAATTCCTCTTGCTGAAACGAGGAAATGTTCACAGCTTTCAAACAGAAGTTTCTGAATCAAAATGCATTTGCAAACCAACTGCCAGCCGTTTCAAATCCATACAAGTGTAGGCTGCTTGTTGCAATTATATGCTGACTAATTGCACTGGGTTTCATAATTTTTCCAACATCTAGATGGCAGAAGCAGTTCGGTTAAGAGAGTGATTTAAGGTTGACCAATAAAAAAATAGCCCGATAAAAGCAAGAATCATCAAATGTCTATTTAGTGCAAGGAACCAGAGTAACTCCATGAATAGGCCAAAATAATTTCTTTATTATTGATCACCTGTTTACAAGAATCATGCCAGACTAACTGGATTCTCTTGAGAACCAGCAGATAAAGACTTCAAGAGTCTGGCTTCTGCTGCTCCCTGCCACGGAGGGATTCCAAACTGTACCCCCTCTTTACTCCCCCCCTTTACTCTCCCCCCCCCCTCTATTCCAACCAGTGATTCTACCACACTAGGTGTCAAAAGCCGGGATACCCAAATGTGCCCCTTAGCCCCTATTTTTATCTCTGGAGCCCCTCTCCCTCTCCACAGTTGATTCTCCATTGCTTTGAGACAAAACCCTCAGCATCAGCAAAATAAGGAAGGTCATCAAGGGTGGGATTCAGCTACAAAGCAGCCTAAAAGGCATTACAAAAAATCTGGTTTTCAGCTTAAGCATGGAACCAAGACAGTGTTGGTTGCTCGAAGTGAGAACCTTTGTTAGGACAGAGAAGAGAGTAGAACACACATCTCCATCCTTTGGGAACCTCTCATTGGCCTTCAGAACTATTGATTACCTACAAGAGTTGGGGACTGAGGTGCTTACAGCAGGTTCTGTATGTTCCTCGGTGGATAACTACAGTTTTGGAGAGAGGATGCAGATCAAGCCAGTGATGGTGCTCATGTGGAGGCCCACAGAGGTCATCTTTTCCCCACTGCTAGAGCTCCTCCAGACGT